TTCCTCCATTCTCGGACAAGATACATCCTTTGGTGCGTAACAACACATTTCCCTTACCAGATGACGTCAGAATATCCTTTGAAACACTTAAAAGCAAACTAGAGCACGCAGTTATCACCACCATCGACCAAGCATCTCAAATAGACTCCGCTGAGGGAGCTCTACTCAATACCTTCCCGCGTGGTGTTTTTCTACCAGTTTGAGGACGAAAAGCCAACATCCGGGGCTATAAGCGGATCGGTAAACCACTGATAGCTCGCCTAAGGGAGTTGGCTAACTACCCTGATTCCAAACCAATCAAGGATAGGTGATGAATCACAAACACACCTTCCCGGTTGTGGTAGTGGTCACCGGCACCATAGGTGTATTGAGCACACTGGACGTTTGACTCCAAATGGCGCATGGTCCGATGAACTGGATTCCGTCCCGTTTTTGATCATTGGCGCTTACACCGCATCTCAAAGTATATTGGATATCGGGTATCCAATGATGATGATGACGGCGCTGCTCAAACATCGACAAGCATTCGAAAATGCTACAACGCCGGCGCACTTAGTGGTTTGGTCACGTGAGACTCAACTCTCGCGGTAGGTTACAGCCCCCACATCGTCCTGCGAATGGTGTTGGCGGCTCGGTGGTCAACTGTAGACCTTGAGCAACACGATCAAGGCATTTGGAATTACTTGCTTTTTACTCCGTACGGGAAATTCGTAACTCTAATCAAAACTGAGACTCACACTGCACTCAAACTCGGTATTGCGTGTCCAGTCCCAAACTAAAGGACAAATCAGGTGGGAGGGCATTTTCATGAATGGAATCAATACTTGAAGGCAGAATCAGCAAATCCTCTGAAGTTCGAAATATGCGAAGCCGAAGCAAACAGGTCAGGTAAAGTCGGAGGGCTTTATAAAGTCGTGTGACTGAATCCTGTGGGCTTCGGCCACGAAGGACTATGGACAGCTTGACCCAATTGGTTAATGGCAATTGAAGAACAAAAACCAAACGAATCGTAAATAACTGATTTGAGTTTTATCTGATTCTTCCCAAAAAAATCGAACTAGGAGAATGCTTTTGTGAATCCGAATCAATTCTGAAATTTACCGGTCCATGACTAGGCACCATCTAAGCAGCCTGATCAAATAAAACGAAAATTATCGAAGATTGGATCAACTGAACAACAGTTTGCTAGTTTTATTTACTCATGCTGACTAACAGGGTAACCTCGAAAATTCAATCGATGTGCAGGACAAAGCGAATGTCATGGTGGAAAAGGACCACCACCTTAGTGGAACAACGAAACAGGTCAGTTCAGTTCAGTTCTCCCAGTTCAGTTCCAGGACGTTGACGGCGGTGTGCTAGTTAGTCCAGCTTCCTGCAGCGATGGGCTCCAGCGATCCCCCGATGCTACGACAGATGGAAGAGGGAGATGACCTTGAGACGCGGTGCGTTCAAAATTTAACCTCGCTATCGGTTTTTGAATTCCCACAGGTTTTATAATTACTCAGCTCCAATTATTTCCTTCCAACCGCCAAAAAAATCGTTTATCATACCGTGCAACCATTGAATGGCTGACAAAGCCTCTCTCGGATCCTCCGACGAGGACACACTCCCGATGAGGTCAGATGAACCTGTGTTGGTCATGGTCGTTCACAGGCCGAAATGCTCGGCATAATTCAGGAACAGGCCTTAGAACTAGGGAGGTTGAGGGCT